TCGTTCGTTTGCACTCGGGACACACCAAGTCCATCAGGTGTGACTGGTCACCTAACTTGATAGTCGAGGAAATGAAGGCGGTCGAGTACAGTGCCTCCCTTGTGTACCTGTGGCTGTGACCTCGACCCCTGGCACTGTGACCTTGAACCCTGGCACTGTGACCTTGACCCCTGGCACTGTGACCTTGACCCTGGAACTGTGACCTTGACCCTGGAACTGTGACCTTGACCCTGGAACTGTGACCTTGACCCTGATACTGTGACCTTGACCCTGGAACTGTGACCTTGACCCTGATACTGTGACCTTGACCCTGGCACTGTGACCTTGACCCTGGCACTGTGACATTGACCCTGGCACTGTGACATTCACCGAGGTACTGTGTTCTTGACCCTGCCACTGTGACCTTGACCCTGGCACTGTGACCTTGACCCGTGATGAGGGTAAAAATATAAACTTGCCTTTTTTGTAAAATTATCAAACATTTAAGGTTATTATGGAAAACGACCGGGTGCTTGGCCGGTCTTTTTACAATATAACCGTAACATATACAGTACCAGCGGCCAATTAGCCCAAACCGCCCAGGTAACGTCTTCACACCTATGTCAATCTTGGGGGGAAATCATCTAAATAAAGCATTAGACACTTTAGCTTATTTCACCTTAAGATTAGACACCCTAACGTTACTGGGGAGTTAGATTAAGTTAGGAGGTTAGGTTAGGTTAGGTTAGGTTAGGTTAGGTTACGTCTACTACTTTTCCTTGATATTATCTTTTCCGTCTCTCTACCCGTTTGTCCACCATCACCTCTCTCACGCCACGCCTCAGTGTTACCAACCCCCACCAAACTCCAGGAACCTTGACATTTCTATTTCCTCTACAGATCTAACATCGGAAATATACTTTAAATTAATATACTTCCACACTAACCAGGTCACCATAAACCTAATGAAAGGTGAGCTTAATACCTCTATGTTAATGACTGTACAGGTTATTACACTGGAGATTAAAGAGAGAGAGAGAGAGAGAGAGAGAGTTCTGGTAACTGTGGTGCCCCTGAGGAGTGATACGTCACCCGAGAACACACTTGCCTGCCGTACTGGGAATACAGTTGTTCGTGGGGAAATTTTCCTTTATTTTCTGTATATAGAAATGGGTGTTAATACAAGGGTTGTGTGTGTGTGTGTGTGTTTATATATGAAGGCTGGACCAAACTGACAATGTATATGTCTATCTGAATTTCGCCAAAGATATTTATTTTTTATTGTTTCATACAGTACATAATAAGGGTTGCTCCTCGTGTTCAAGGATGGCCGGCCCAAAGGCCACCTTCAACACAACAACCACACCCTAAGTTAACGAGTTGCATGACCCAGTCTCAAAGAATAATATGAAATTACCGGACAACTCGCTAACTGCACTGGCTAACCATTACCCCGGAACACGATCCACAAATCGATTAACATCCAGGTCCCCAATTACTGCTGGGTAGACAAGAGCCAAATAGCGTAAGGAAACTTGCACCCGGGTCCACTCACTTGCGAGGCGAGCATGCTAACCATTACACCACAGGTCGCTACAATTTATTATAATGTACAGTGTTTACGTATCCAAACTGACCTAATATTATATTAATAAAATATGAAACCTAACTTAACCTTCAGTGAAAACTATCAATGTCTCTCTCTCTCTCTCTCACACACACACACACACACACACACACACACACACACACACACACACACACACCACTGACCTCACGTTCACCAATTAACACTTGTACATAAAGTCCGGCAAACAATTAAACTTTTACACACTCGAGACATTTTCTCCTTCCCATCTTCCTCCTCCCCTTCCCTTTACTTCTCCTTGTCTCTCCCCTTCCCTTTCTTCCTCCCTCTTTTCATTTTTACTTCCCTCTCACCTTCACCCTTCCCTCTTACAACCTCCTCTTTCCTATCCCTCATTATCTCTCCAGGATTCTCTCTCCTCTTCGCTACGTCTCTTCCTCATTAATCCATCCTTCTTCTCCTTCTCTCCTCATCCCTTCCTTCTCACCCCTTCCCTAACAAGCCAGATGGTGTAAGAGTCATGGCACAGGTCACAGCACCACAAGGACCCCAGCAGGCAGGCAGATGGTCAGCTCCGACAGAAGGCGCAGTATTTCAAACTTCCTTACCAGACGTAGAACACAGGCGACCCCAGTTCAACTCCACCACGAAATAGCAAAGGTTAGGTTAGGTCCAGGTTAGGTTAGGCTTGGTTTGGTTTACGTTAGGTTCAGGTTAGGTTAGGTTTGGTTTATGTTAGGTCAGGTTACGTTGAGGTTACGTTAGGTTTGGTTAGGTATCTATGATTAAACCATAGAGTTATAGTTATTTTAATGGAATGTTGTACCATATAGCTTATAAACAATACACTTCTACAGCCTAGAACAGCCCTCATATAGCCCTCAACAGCCCTCATATAGCCCTCAACAGCCCCATATAGCCGTCAGTAGAAGGCGTCTCTTAAGGTACAGAGTATAATGGCCTATTGGTGCTGGCGTGACGTAGCGGCGTAACATAACAACTTGTAATGGTGCGTCACTTATGTCGATAATGGCGGAGTATTACGGCCATCATCTGTGTGTGTGTTCCCTGTTATCGGTTGCCTGTTGATGTTATCGGTTGGGTGTTGCTTGAATGTCTAATGTTCAGGTGACACACACACACACACACACACACACACCAAGCACTGGAAAGGTTTGGCCGTGGACTACTGCACCACCCTCGCCATCGCCACCTCCTGCAGCCCCCCACCCAACTCGCGCAGTCCGCCACGACAACAAAATTCAGCCCATAAGAGCCCGCACCGATAGATATAAGAACAGCACCATCCCATCTATTGTTAAAATAGATAAACAACTCCTGATTTATGTACTGTACAGCCCTGTAAATGTATTCAATGCATATTATATCATTATGTCTAAATCAAATGTAAGTCTGTATATTTTCAGCCACCGGCAGCAACTCTATTAATAAACCGTTTATTATTATTATTTATTATTATTATTATTATTATTATTATTATTATTACACACACACACACTGTTAGCAATATTCAATTATAGGTAGAGAACTCGACGACCATCAACCCGGAACTAATAACATCATAGAGAGGAAAGTAAGGTTGTTAACTTTGGCTGGAGAGGGTGGAGAATGAGGGAGGTAGAGAATGAAGCCAATTAGATTGGAGTGGGTCGTTAAGGGAAGGGGTGGCAGTGGTAATTACTCAGGGGAAAAATGAATGTAAGAAGCGATGATTTTATTTTCTTCTTCAGATTCTTGAGACCAGAATGATGGTTAGGTTAGGTTAGGGCAGGTTAGGTTAGGGCAGGTTAGGTTAGGCTTAATTACGTTATGTTAATTTATTTCTAGTTATGTTTAAGTCAGGTTAGGTTAGGTTAGGCTAGGGTAGGGTAGGGGTAGGGTTGGATTTGATTTTGCGCTTGCAGCGCTACTTTGTGTGCACCCCACACTCATCCTGTGAGCAGTAGCGCAAAAGGATTACAGAGTAGGGTTTACAAAGGGTCATAATAATTAACCCGGTTTGTCGGATATTATGGCACCGAAAGTTACACAGTATTTCATTTACATTATTTGTTTAGTTCTATACATAGGGTAACTTGTTTACAAATGCGTGAGAACAGGCGTGTGAGGCAGTATGTCTGGCCTCACACTTTGTGTCACATTTACGTGGGAGGTATTCAAGCACATTGCGTATTTGGTTCTGTACATGAGAACTGATATAGTTACTGAGTGCAAAAGTGGATACAATCTTAATATGTCGGCTATCTTGCCATTAGAGATGAAGTGTTGTGCCATTTCACACACAGTGTGCTTGGACCTGTCCTAAAGGTTCTATCTTCACACAGTCGAGGACGTAGTGTTCAAGGGTGTGGCCATATGTATATTACACACTTTACATTTATTTTGTTTACATCTGCTTGAGGAACATACTGCCAGAGGTACTTGTATCTAACCTTAATCTAGCGGTTACAACATCTTGTAATCTAGTGATCTTGTTACTTGTCATATACATGTTTCATGATACATCTCATCATGGTAGGGGTAGGGTAGGTAGGTAGTAGGGTAAGGTAAGGTAAGGTAAGGTAGGGTAGGGTAGGGTAGGGGTAGGGTAAGGTAAGGTAAGGTAAGGTAGGGTAAGGTAAGGTAAGGTAGGGGTGTAGGTAGGGTAAGGTAGGGTAGGGGTAGGGTAGGGTAAGGTAAGGTAGGTGGAAGGTAAGGTAGGGTAGGTAGGGCGGGACAATGATAAAGACGAAACCATCAGGTAGTTTAACAAGGTATAGTTGAGGGCAAAGGAGGACTGGGAGGGGGGGGGACATTAAACCTCAACTACTACCATCTGTCTCGAGGCGTACATCACACTCACCACACAAACTTTACACCAAGTACCGTAAATTAAGGCAGCCCATAAAACACCACGGGGAAGTATTTCAAGCAACACTTTAAAAGAATGTCATGATTTATGAGGTAACTTTATCAGCAGATGACGACCATACATTAATTCAATCCAGATCACCTGAAGGTTAACCACCCTAACCTAACCTAACCTAACCAAACCTACCCTAACCAAACCTACCCTAATCTAACCTAACCTAACCAAACCTACCCTAATCTAACCTAACCAAACCTACCCTAATCTAATCTAACCTAACCTAACCAAACCTATCTTAATCTAATCTAACCCAACCAAACCTACCCCTAATCTAATCTAATCTAACCTAACCTAACCTAACAACCCTAATCTAATCTAACCCAACCTAACTCAACCTAACCTTCCTTACCTTACCTAACCTAATCTAACCTAACTTAACTTAACCAAACCCAACCTAGCCTATACTCATGGACCGCCAACATTACTAAACATTACCAGGGTTAGGTACTTACTCACCGGGCAGTAGGAAGGTACTTACTCACCGGGCAGTAGGAAGGTACTTACCGGTATTTTGACGGGGCAGGAGAGACGATGAAGGCCCAGGGCGTGTACCGTCAGCTCCTCGTCGTCAGATACCAGGATAAGGAAGGCCAACTGCGCCCCACACGCCTCCGACAACTGTAAACACAACCAAGGTATTGAGTGGTTGTTTGTGTCGATTAAACTGTGGAAAATAAACAAAATAATTACTAACCACCACCACCTACCCACCCACTCACCACCACCACCTCCACTCACCACCACCACCACCACCCACCACCACCACCCCACACCCACTCACCACCACCACCACCCTCACCACCACCACCACCACTCACCACCTCACCACTCACCACCACCCCACCTATCCACTCACTCACCAACAAGCATTACTGTCAATAGGTAGAACATAGGGACTCCTGGCATGGGTTGTGTGTCAAATGAGTCTTTTATATATAGACTCTGGAGGCTCTCAACACAGTGTTACCCACCGCCCACCTCCTATGTTTATGACGTCAGCTGCTGGTCGACCAATAAGCCTGCCTGTGCTGGTAAATTGTGGTAGTGGTGGTGGTAATAGCGGTGGTAGTAGTGTTGGTGGTGATAGTGGTAGTAGTAATGGTGTTGGTAGTAGTGGTGGTAATGGTGGTATTATGGTAGAAGGTCATTAGCCTATCTCCACCAACCAGATAACTTATATGATTTCCCTTTGTGCGTGTGTGTGTGTGTGTGTGTGTGGTGCGTGTTGAGCACGCACACACACACACACCATTACTCTTCCCTCCACGTTAACTGTTTTTCCTCACGACACATCACCTCTGTTATTACTGCTACAACCTACTCACTCATCCACTCACTCGTCCACCCCTCCACTCACTCATCCACCCCTCCACTCACTCATCCACTCACTCGTCCACCCCTCCACTCACTCGTCCACCCCTCCACTTACCTCATCGTTCCCTCCACTTACCTCATCGTTCCTCCAGTCACTCATCCACCTCCACTCAATCATCCACCTCCTACCATCCACCCTCCACTCAGTCATCCACCCTCCACCTCCTCATCCACCTCCACTCAGTCATCCACCCCCCACCTACTTCATCCACCCTCCACTCAGTCATCCACCCTCCACCTACATTCATCCTTCCTCCACTGATTCATCTCTCTCTCCTAAGACAGGTCAAACTATCGACCTTGCCACACAAACAACAGGTAGATAATTAACCTCTTCACCTGAGCGTCACACCTGCAGTAATTACGTTTACACACCTTTGTCACACCTGCTACGCCCCCTGAGAACACAATCTCACCTGTGTTGATGAATGGTAATGATGACGATGATATTAATTAATGGTGACAACAACAATACCTTGGAAGAAGAAGAGAACAACAAGAACAACAACATGGAGATGAAGAACAAGATGAACAACAACAAGAACAACAAGAACAAGAACAAGAAAAGAAGAACAAGAAGAAGAACAGAAGAACAAGAACAAAAAGAAAAGAAGAAGAACAAGAAGAAAAGAAGAAGAACAAGAAGAAGAACAAGAAGAAGAAAAGAAGAACAAGAAGAAGAACAAGAAGAAAAGAAGAACAAGAAGAAAAGAAGAAGAAAAGAAGAAGAAGAACAAGAAGAAGAAAAGAAGAACAAGAAGAAAAGAAGAACAAGAAGAAGAACAAGAAGAAAAGAAGAACAACAAGAAGAAAAGAACAAGAACAAGAACAGGAAGAACAAGAATAAGAAAAGAAGAACAAGAACAAGAAGAAAAGAAGAACAAGAACAAGAAGAAAAGAACAAGAAGAACAAGAAGACTCTCAGTTCCTCTCGCTCAGGCTACATCAAGGTCTTCCAAGTATAATCTGTTCCACTAATAAGCAACAATTAGAGTATCTACAGGAGTTAATGAGTCGAGGCTCACCTGAGTGTGTTTACCTTCTGATTATTGGACCAATCCTAACGTGTGTGTGTGTTGGCTGAATGCGCTTTTCATGTCTAATTGTGAAGGTATGTTCACATATGTTATGCATGTGTACACAAACACATGTATAAAAGAGGAAATGTATGAATACCGGTGTACACAAGCTGTAGGGTGGGGGGTAAGGGAAGGGGAAGGAAGGAGGAGAAGAAGGAAGAGGACGGGGATGATTTGGAGGGAAGAAGCAGGGGAGAAGCGGGATGAAGGGGGGAGGAATGGGAGGAGGAGGAGGTAAGGAAGAAGAAGAGGAGGAAGAGGTAAGGAAGAAGAGGAGGAGAAGGAAGAGGTAAGGAAGAAGAGGAGGAGGAGGACCACAAGATTCCACCACCGAACAAATAAACAGAAAGGAGAGGTGCCGGGTGTGGTCTCTCTCTCTCATAGACTGTGACCTTGACTTTGACCCTTTGACCTCTTGACCCCATGACCTCTTGACCTCCAGAAACATTAGAAGGTTTATGGGTTGACACAAGTTTGAACGTTACCAGCAGTGATAGAACCCAAGCTAGTTAGTGGTCCGTGTGTGTGTGTACCTCTCTCTCCGACACTTACATAGCGATTGAGTTCTATCTGAATCCCAGCGGCGTCCAGGTTATTGAGGGACGCCACCACCTCCACAACCTCCTCGGGTCTCCTCCTCCTCCTCCTTCGCCTCCTTCAGCACCATCCTCCTCCGCTCTCGTTGCCTCGGAGGTGCCCGTCACGCCCATGGTCTCCTCGGCGCCGCCCTGGCCGGTTTCCTCGCTGCGGCTGCCGACACCGGAAGAAGAGAGATGAGTTTAATACAGGTGGCTCAATTAATACACCTGCGGGGAGGAGAGACAGGTGATCTTCATGAACACACACCTAAGCACACCTGGGAGGGAAAACAGGTGTGTCAATTATTGCACACCTGTGGGGGAACAGGTATTGTAATACATGTTTGGATGGACAACTGAGGGAAAAATTGGTGTTTGTTGTTAAATGTCTTTGGTGGAAACATGTGTTCATTAACACTCACCTGCGGGAAAAACGGGTGCTAATTACTACACAATTCTGGTGTGTTAATGAGAACACGTCTGTTTTCATCATTTCTCCTCATTAAGAAACAGAGGTGGGCGTGTGTGTGTGTGTGTGTGTGTGTGTGTGTGTGTGTGTGTGTGTGTGTGTGTGTGTGTAACGTTAGCAGTCATGATTCAACAACAATAGGAACGGAAGGAGAGCGAAGGTTCGTCAAATGAGACAGCCCATAATCCAGGCGTAGTTGATTGCCCGCCGCCATGGACTGGTATTGAAATGCCAATCACTTCGTCCGATTCCAATCTCGCAGGGCAGAAGGCAGCCAATCATAGCTGTTGTCTTATGACGTCATGGGTCTCACTCACGTTTTGGTGCGGCCAATCACGAGTGCTGTGGTGTGACGTCACGAATTGTTTTATAAATGATAATGATAAATAATCATTATCATTATCATAATGGTAATAACGAAAATATCAATATTATCATTGATAATATCGATATTTTCGTTATTACCATTAGCATAATTTTACCATTTACGTATTTCTTGCTTAAAGAGTTTCACCAAAACAGTTTCACAAATATTTCATCCTTCTTGCTGCCAGTTTGTTGACACACACACACACACACACACACAGAGTGGTAATAGGAAGAAATAAGGAACTGTTAAAGGTGTTCATTATAAGGACGTTTATGTCTCATAGTAGGTAGGACACAGAGAGAGAGAGAGAGAGAGAGAGAGAGAGAGAGGAGAGAGAGAAAGAGAGAGAGAGAGAGAGAGAGAGAGAAAGAGCTTTTACTGCTCTCTCTCTCTCTACCTTTCTACCTTTAGACTAGCTTTCTCCCATTCTCACTCTCCTCTTATTCACTATCCTCTCCTCTCCACCTCTCTCCCTCTTTCTATCCCTCCACTTCTCTCTCTCACCTTCTCTCCCTCTCCCACTTTCTCTCACTCTCTCCCCTGTTTGACTTCCCCATAAACTTTCCTCTTCCACTCCCCCATCTCTCACTTCCTTCTCATCAACCCACTCTCCTCCCCTCTCACCCCACATCACCTCACCTCCCCATCAACTCCACTCCCCTTCCCTCTCACCCCCACTCCCTTCTCACCCCACTCTCCTCCCCTCTCACCCCACTCCACTGTCACTTCAGTCTCTGTATTCGTCATCTTTATTAAACTTTTCCTCTTCCGTTCTTGTGCCTTTTTTTGTAGGAAAGGAGGAATGAAGGAAGATTAGAGGTGGGTGAAGGAAGATTAGAGGAGAATGAAGGAAGATTAGAGGTGGGGTGGGGAAGGAAGATTAGAGGTGGGTGAAGGAAGATTAGAGAGGGGGAAGGAAGATTAGAGGTGGGGGGGAGGAAGATTAGAGGTGGGGGGAAGGAAGATTAGAGGTGGGGTGAAAAGATTAGAGGTGGGTGAAGGAAGATTAGAGGTGGGTGAAGTTAGATATGAGAAGATTAGAGGGGGTGAAGGAAGATTAGAGGTGGGGTGAAGGAAGATTAGAGGTAAAGATAAAAGATTGTAGGAAAATAAAGATTAGAGGTGGGGTGAAGGAAGATTAGAGGGGAAGGAAGATTAGAGGGAAGGAAGATTAGAGGTGGGAGTATTAGAGGTGGGAAGAAGATTAGAGGTGGGGAAGGAAGATTAGAGGTGGGTGGAAGGAAGATTAAAGTGGGAGGAAGGAAGATTAGAGGTGGGTGAAAGATTAGAGCGGGGAAGATTAGAGGAAGATTAGAAGAAGATTAGAGAAAAGATTAGAGGTGGAGTGAAGGAAGATTAGAAAATTGGAAGGAAGATTAGAGGTGGGTGAAGGAAGATGGGAAGGAAGATTAGAGGTGGGTGAAGGAAGATTATGAAGGAAGATTAGAGTTCGAAATTAAAACCAGAGGAGAGAGTGGCTGATTCCACCCATTTAACTTAACAGTGTGTGCTCTCCTTTCCTTCCTCCCTCCTTTTTTTTTTCTTTCCGGTGATTTTCTCTCTCTCTCTTTCCTTTTACCACGGTTTTTCCTTTCTCTATTCTCTCCCTCTATTTGTGTTTATTGTAGTTTGCCTCTTATTCTTTCTTCAGTTATTTTATTTTTCTTTGCGTCCTCTTTTATTCTCCTTTTCTCTTATTTTATCACGCTGTTCCTGTTAGCCTCTCTCTCTTATTCCGATAATTGAAATTCCTTACGTCATTCGTTTCTTTATTTCATTTTTACCTGACTTTTTTTCTCTTTCGCGTCCCAACGAGTTTTTATCTCTGACCTTTTCTCGTAGCTTTCCAAAATTGCTTTCACTATTCCCCATGAGTCTCTCTGTTTATCTGTATGTTTCCTCACGCAGTCCCATTTCTCATCCACTTTCTTTCCTTTTCTTCCACTCTTACATCAACTTTCATTTTTTATTTTCACCCCCATCTGACTTTCTCTTTTTTACGATTATTTATTCAAATTTCTATTTTATCTGCTACTTTCACTTCATTTTTTTCTTTTCCTCATCTTGATCTTCCACCTTCAATGTTTTCTTTATTTGTTCTTGTTTATTTCCCCTTTGAGTATATTTTCATTCAACTTTTTTTTTCTTCTTCACTTGTGTTGACTTTCACTATGTTCTATTTTCCGCCTCTTCCACTGCTTTTTTCTAATTCATTTTCCCTCCTACCTTCCTTTTCAATTAAACTTTCTTCCCATGACAATAATTCCATTTACTGTCTATTCCTTCTTGCTTAATTACCCTTTCAATTGTTTTTGTTTCTTTATTTATTCTTTCTTTCACTCTCTCATTTAATCAAAATTTCCCTCCTTCACCTCTTATCTTTCTATTCTTTCTCTCCCCTACCATTTTCCTCAAATAGTCATCTCTCCGTTATCCCTCAATCTCCTTTCTTTTTCCCTTATTCCCTCAACGACTTCTAGTTTTTTTTTTCAATTTCTACTCAGTTTATCAATATTCTCTTCCCCCTTCCTTTTCTTTTCTGTCTATATTCTCTTATTTCTACTTTTATCAAACTTTTCCTATTAACTTTCTAATTAATAGATTTTTCTTATTTCTTAGTCCTTTCTCTCTCCTTTCCACGCCATATATCACCGTTCTTTCACTTACTTTGCTTTTATTATCAAACTTTCTTTTTCATAGTCTAGTTTATCACGTTCTGCCTTTCGAAATTTTTCTAATGTCTCTGAGGAAATGTCAACCACCCTTCTCTCTCTCTTTTCAATTTCCCCTCACTTTTATTTTTTCCTTTCTTTCTCTGTCTTTACCTCTTGACTTTCATCGCCTCTTGCCTTTTATCTCTGGCCTGTCTCACCTTTCCCAAAACTTTCCATTCTCCATTTTTTTTCTTTCAACTGACTCGTTCTCTCTCTCTCTGGTATCCCCGACATTCACTATTCCTTTCTCCCGCGACTATATTTTGTCTCTCTCTCTCTTTATCTCACCGCTTTCCCAATACCTTCTTCACAAGACTGATAGCCTTAATCAGGTCAACCCAGATGGATTTAAAGGTGTGTGTCTTGTCTGAGGTTGAGGTTGTGTGTGTGTGTGTACACAGGGTGGTGTAATGCGTCTAGTGTGGCAGCATTATGTTAGTGTTAAGGTGCAGGCACTGCTTGATTCCTCTCGCTTTCAGCTACATAGCCTGGGCAAACAAGAAAGCAACTTGCATAAGTCTCTGCCAGTACCCAGCCTCTTCACCATCAAGACTGCAGGCCTCCTCGTGGCAACACACGTAACTGGTTGCCCTGTGGGCACAGGCTAGACCAGCAGGATCTCTGGCAGTGTGTCCAGAGGACGGGAGCATAGGCCCCACTGGCATGGGACACGTTCTGGCGCCTACCAACCACCGCCCTGCTGCCTTGCGGATTAACCTGGTAGGTATAGGCTATGGGAGTAAACCCTGAACGAAAATCACGGTGGAGCCCCTGCATCAGGCAGAGCACCACTGGATCAGGAAAAGGGAGAGCCAAGAGGTGTGGTTGCAGCTTGTGCTCCTGCCTCACCACATATATCAACTCACGCGCAGCCATCATCCAGCTCATCATACCTGTCATCATCATCGAAACCCCTATACCCCCAAAAGTCCTATGGCGACGGACGAGTGGCGACGAGGACAGTTAGAGATGACTGCCGGAGTCTCTGGTCACAACTCTGCACATGGGGGCACAGATATGATGGTCGTTTATGCACTGGGATCTAGGCAGCATTGCAATTCGGTCCTGTCTGTGCGACTAAGCAGCCCCTTCAGAGTCACTCTGCTCACCCCACATGGGAGGGGGCTAGAATTGGTGTCCTAAACAAGCCTGCCTAAAAACAACCAGACTGGTCAACCGCACCAGTAAGGTCGTCCTTATGCAGTCAAAACAATAAAATCACAGATCCAAACAAAAACAAACTATAAACCTCTTATGGTCGCTGCATGTTATGTCAAGACCCTTCTGGGCGGTCACTCATACATTATTCATTTTTTAATCATTACAGCATTTCATTCTACATTTTATTATTATTATTACTATTAACACAGGCGGAAAACAACGTCGACCAACTGGATGAGAGAACAGCTAAGCGGATATAGTGACGTCACGCTTTGGTTTGGTCGCCATTTTGAATTTCAGGGCAATTCATTTTGTAAGTTAAAAGCGGGTAATAAATCTCCCCGTAAGTCTCTTGGGAGCGGAGCGATTCTGACTTCTCAACCAGGGATTTCAAGCTCCGTCGGCATTTGCAAGTCCTCGGGATCCTGTCGGCGGGAATATATTGCTTCTGTCGGGAGTATAAGAGATGTATCACTCCCTT